TAAATAAATAAATAAATAAATGAATAAATTAAATCATTAATAAATAAAATAAATAAGATAAATAAAGAAATAAATAAATAAATAAATACAATAAATAAATTAAATAAATGAAAAAATAATGATAAATAAAATAAATAAATACTAATAAATAAATAATAAATAAAAAAAAACTAAATAAATAAAATAAATAAATAAATATATAAATAAATAAAATAAATTAAATAAGATAAATAAATAAATAAATACATAAAATAAATAAATAAATAAATAAATAATAAATAAATAAGAATAAATAAATAAATAAATAAATAACATAATAGAAAATCCGAGATAGAATACCCATGAATTTGTGAACTGTTGGATCCTAATTGTCTGCGCTCCTCGTTTTCTGTAAATATGCGCGACCAAAAGAAAAGTTGTACTTTCATTTGGTTGTGTTTGTGCCACAGCAGTGACCACTAGCCGCGGTTGCCGCCGGAGAGATAGGGGCTTTGGCCTTCAGTGTACTGAATTGCGATTGATCGCAAACATAGCGGAGCACTGGTATGGAGAAGGTGGCATGGGATGGCCACCATCGGAATTGTAGTTTTGCCAGAACCTGCCATACTGAACTTTTATGTAACATCAAAATATTTACATTGGTAATGAAGGTCACTGAGAAATAATACATTGGTTTCAATTGGCTTCGAAAATGAATTCTACGCCTAACTAGTTACTACGTCATCCGTCGAAACGTGTACTCTTGTCGTTCAACTTTCAGAATCGGCAGAATGTACTTCTCGCCTAAGTTCCCTTACTGCATAGTGGATGCAGTTCTACAAAATATTGTGACTCTTACACATGATGACAATGGAGGAAGTATAAGCGGCCAGGAGCAGCTGGCTCTAGAAGCGCTGCGTTTTGGGAGGCAACTGCAGCGGGCGACAGGGCGTCCCCTCCCGATGCCGAGGGCGCGGAGCAGCAGGCCGCGAGGAGCGAAGCCGCTGCCGAAGCCATCGCGCGCCCGTGGCGCGGGCGGAGCGGCGGCGCCCGGGCGCTGCGGGGGTGAGGGAGGGGGAGGAGGAGGATAGCGCCGCGCGAAGATGAGCCCCGGCCGGGCGGCCAACGCGCGCCGCAAGGGTCCCGCTGAGGAAATACGAAAAACACGGAAATGGCTGCCGGCATTGCGACGGAGCTGCCGTGCACTGGCCGCCGCGCACGCCGCTCCGGCCGCCCACGCCCGTTCCAAATCGCGGAGGGCCTCGGCGGCGGAGGGCGGGCGCGAGCTGCAGACGCCAGCCACTGATTGAAGGGAGGAGCACCATTCAAAGGGAATCTCAAAGTGAATGGCAGACGCAGCGGGCCTCTTGCTAAGGAATATTCAATTCTGGCGGTAACACACTGCTTCGGCCCGATTTTTAGTTCATCGATCTAAACGGAGGTGCATGCTTCGATATTCTTCACTTTCACAGAATTTACTACATTTAATCGAAGAGCTTATTATCGAAGAAGCGTTTCGCAATTTCCATTGTTGTTTTTTTCATTCTAGTTTAACTTTTCAATATTTTCTTAACAGCTTCGCCATCATCCTGCCAAAAAGCGTGTTCAAAATCTGCGTTTACCCTATGCTATCAGAATATCCGAAAACCTTTGAATCCTATCTTGAACTATAAAACTGAATGTGTATAATTTATTTTCGTGAAAAATTGTGTTTCATGTAGATACATCTCTTGGAAAATAAAATAATTGCCATTTTCCCAAACAAAGAACATTTACTTTTCATTCTCGCTTCGCATCTGTAAAGAAAGTATCTAGTATTACATTCATAAGAGTAGTTCATATCATGGTTTACTTGTCTTTAACTCAATGAAAAACTAAAATCTACTTTTTTTGCAAACGAATCTGGAGATAAAAAAGTGTTTATAAGTAATAGAAACCATTTTACTTTCAGGCTCTTCGTAAGAAGAAAAAGCATTGTAATCGTTCGCCGGAAAATGGAGACTTTTCAGCAGAAACTCTCTTACGCAAATGTGAATGGTTTTCGTGTAATTATGTGCGAAACGTAGGCAATTTTAAAGTTAATGTTTTTCTTGAAAAGCGCTCCAAATTGTTTCATTAAATTTTCTCCTCGTATGCAACAAGGGACGCAATATTATGCTAGTCCCATTTTCGTCAAACTCTCTGTATTTCGAAAATTGCAGAAATTGCATATTGGAAATATTGAGTAGAGACAATTACATCTTAAAGCGTCTACTCTAGCGCAAATTGCACGGCATTTCTTCAGGATAGTGGTACGACTGATTGTGTGGTAACTCAGACGCCCTGAGTTCGAGTCTGGGCGCAATAATTTTTGGTGTTTGCAAACACCAAATATTTGCATGTTTATGTAGTAGTATAGTGCAGTAATTAGAATCAATGCAAGAAATATGAGCTGTACTATCACCACTAGTTTCTCTATTATGTAGGCTTTAAACCAGGGATTGACAACCTTTTTCTTTCATCGTCACCCTTTAAGAGTATTGTTTTCTTCATCGATCCCCATATTTTTCTCTATAATATACATCATCCATAATCATGAGACAAACATTCGCACATAAAGATAATTTCGTACGTCAATATTCTCGTAAAAACATATCGATTTTGAATAATCAATGAGTTTCTATTGTTCATTTTAATGCACTGCTTACAAAATGTGGAGTGTCCTTTAAGAACTGGCCAAAACAGTTCTCCCATACATATTCCGGAGAGTTCATTCGTACCCGATAGATTATCGTTGTGAATATTTAGTTATAATTTCTTGAGTTTTCTGAACATCCTATCTTCTAATGATGAGCAACGGTTACAAAAGAAGACAAGCGGATTCGCAATTTATGAGTATAGGTGTTTTGCTTTATGTCAGAAAAGATTAAGTTCAGTATTTTTTTGTAATCAATGGATCAATGGGAAATACTGACAAGGCTCCGGTTCTTATTCTGCTATTGATCCTAATCGCCCTCTCAATCATCATTGATTTCTTTCAAAATTTCATTGACCCCCAGAGTGGTTATCCGACCCATTTGGGAACACCTATTTTAAACAGAATTTATCTTGTCATTTCAAAATGCTTGTAATTGAGTAATTACCCTTTTCATATATTTGGTAAAATGTAAGGCAATATTAACGCGACAATTTGACAAACTGAATCTCTAGTTTCAAAAAATGAGTTGAAAAATATGTAATATTATAGAGATGTACGTAAACCCTACAAATTACTAGGATATTAAAAAAATGCGACAAAAATCTAATTAGTTGCAAATACGAAATTCTATTAAATTAAAATTATATTCCGAATCAATATTCCTTCTAAAAAGAGTCATTCGCTGGAAGATGCCTGGGCGGTCAGGTCAAAGAATACAAAAGAGAGATTCAATTGGTCTAAAATCATAATTCAATTGTATGTATTTAGACAGTTGTGAGATAATTCAAACATGTTCCGAAGACAGGAGAAGAATGTTTCTGAGCACTTGCGGTGCACCTGTTGGGTTCATTGATTTCTATATTCGGGGCATTCTCTCTCAGATCCGCACTTACTACATCGCCAAAGTTTCTTCTGCCTTGTCAAGAAAAAAATTGTTGACATGTTTTCCTTTCTGATATGTCTGCATTTATAATAACAAGAAGCGTCATTTCATCGTGGTGTTGTCGCCATGCAATTTTAACGGCCACGTGGAAAAATATAACCACTACAATATTTATGTAAGAAAATATGGCATACCATACTCGTTTAGACATAAAATTCAAAAAATCCGGAAATAAATAATTATAATTTACGTGAATAATATAAAAGTACAAATTTTCATTGAGTGACGTAATTGCCATTTGACCGACAACACCTTATTCATGTATATATGTCACCTTATATATGTTTCATAATCTGAAAGTAAGTTTTTAAAGTAAACATTAAGTTCTTACGTATTATATTTGAATGGCGATTATCTACAAATATGAAAAATAATAGATCTCAACGCCAATTTCAACCTAAAAAAATACATGGGATTGATCTCGCTATGATGTGCAAATATTCTACAATAGGCTAAAAATGGAGTTCTCGTTAATTCACGGCGTCCAAAGGCGCACGCGAGAGGTCGTGGGAATGCGTCGAACTGACTACTCGTAGACATGGCAATGGACACTGTTCCAGTCACAGCTTTATTTGAAATGCTCATAGATTTTTAAAATAGCTGCATTATGATGGTTAGAACAATGCGAAAGGTCTTCGGACTTATTTGAACTGAAAAATGCCTGTACCTCGACTTACCTATTTAATTATTTACTTGAATGTGCTCGTGTAGTGTTCTAAAATCGTCACCCAAGAACTCAATCATTCCATTATAATGCACATTAAAATTATCAAGCGACCAGTGTTTGTTCAGATATTGCTTTTTGTGAATATTTTGCGTGTTAATGTATGGGCTACAAAAAGTCAATAAACATTGGTGCGTGTTTATCACAACACAGAGCAATATTAAGTTAGCGCAAGATATAACGTGATACAAAAATATTGTTGTATAGACCTTCAAATTGAGACATTGTAAGGGAATAAAAAATGAGGATTTGACACTCTTGATGACACAATGTATAAAAATATGCCCTTATGGCTACAGGTCGATGGCGAAATTGCACGTCATCACAATAGAGTATTTATTAATTTGTTTTACTCCAAAAAAACTTATACAATAAATATATTTTCTTTCTTGCCGATAATATATTAATTTTAGTAACAAATTAGAACTATTTGAGATTTTTATTTAATAATAGCTGAATTACACTAACTAAAATGTCGTTACAAACTTTGAGCAAACTGCGGAGAGGGATGGAAATGTCCAGAAAATTACGGGCAATGTAAAATGATTCTACCTGTATAAAATTGTGACCATCCTAAATTAAAGATTTGGTGTTGCAGCAACACAACTAAACATATTGTAAGGTGGAGCGGGGAAACCGGGGTCTGGACGCGAGCGGGGCGGCGCGCGCCCGAGCACTCACACAGAGAAGTGGTAGACGAAGCACTTCCAGCCGGACGGCCTCTCCAGGAAGTTGTACACCTGGCCCTGGAAGGTGGCCTTGCCGGCGCGCCGGTGCTCCTTCATGAGGTAGCGCGCCTCCCACGCCGGCCGCTCCTGCAGCAGCGTCCGCGGGTCCAGCCCTGCACAGCCACACCCCGCACACGCTTTCATTCATTGCAGTACGTCCACTGCTGCGGTCGTTGCTCCCGTTAGACAAGCGAAAGTGTATTATGTTTGAACGAGGCGGTGTTCCTTCCCCGCTGAATGGTGTGATCCGGCGCCGACATACACGTCGGCTAGCGGGTGATTTCCCTCTCCAGATGCCTCCCCCAGCGGGGCTCCGCCCCAGCCGGGAAAAGCTCTTGGCTCCTGACTGGTCGCGCAACAAGTGTGCTAGTGAAGTGCCTGTAAGGGTGTGTGTGTAAAGAGAGAAGATAGGACGAGGAAACGGAAGGAAATATCGCGCGATGTTCTCGGCCCGTTATTTGGCATTCGCCTGGTATTGATCGTAGAAATCACGGAAACTACCCATCAGAGCAGTTGGTCAATTGTCCTCCACACAGCCGTTGAATTCCATCTATCTATATATACAGACCTAATGTTGAACATTTGCGACCGACAGGATTCCAGCTCAAGTGGAGTCAAAGAGTTCTTTTCATAAGGAAATTTCCAGAGAGAAAATATGAACGTTAGAGCTTTTCTGAAAATGGTCATTTTTTAGCTCATTTACACATAAAACTTATGAGATTTTGAGTAATGTCAGAAAATACTACTTGAATCATTTGTATTCACATATGGATTTAATAATAAAATAGTCTAAAATTATAACATTAAGGAAGGGCAAAATATTTAAAAAATACACGTGAATTCTTTAATTCAAAAGTTTTCATTAAAAAACACGCATGGCATTTAATTTAGTGTGTTGTGCTCTAACAGTACGAAAATTGTAAGGATAAAATGGAAGCACTTCTGAGAAAGTGCAGTTTAGCTAGTTTTGATATAAACTTCGATGAAAATATTGCATTAACAAAAAAAAGATCTCTAACTTGAGTAATGCAATTCCAGAAGTGGGTCTTGAAATTGTTGAATTCTTTTAAGACTTAATTTTATTCAAACCTTCGCCATTTTAAAAGTGTATTTTGCTCTGTTCTGATGAGAAAGTAAAACTATTAGCTTCTACTTCTTTTCATAATATGGTATAGTATACTAAGGGAATAAGGAATATATTAAGTGGAAATTGCTCTGAATAAGTTATGTAAAATTTGTTATTGGAGTTACAGGAGGACCCGCCCACCAACTGGATTCGCCACTGATCTTAGTCTACTATATTTATGAATTTTTTGTTAATTATTTGTTTTGTTTATTTTTGTTTTGAATTACAGAAAATAAGCTGAATCTAATTGTACTTTTTGAAAAATTTCAAATTTCATTTTTTTTTCAAAATATTTGAATTTCAAAATATAAAAATTCTGCAATAACGTGTCATGTAACTTTTACTGATCATCCACATGCCCCCGATTGTTCTTAATTAAAAGAAAGTATTACATAAAACAAAACTACGAGTATAATATTCGTTTGCAGAAGAACACGAGAAGCGGTGGACACAATACTTCTGTGTCCCTCTCTCTCTCTCTCTCTCTCTCTCTCTCGCTCTCTCTCCCTCTCTTCCCTCTCTTCTCTCTCCCCGTTTCTCTCTCTCCCTCTCTCTCTCTTTCTCTCTCTCTCTTTCGTGCGTGGCAGCAGGTAGCTAACGCGAATCCATCTCTGGTTATTTGGTGTAACACTCACAAAGAAAATGTACAATTTAATTGCAAATTCTATTAAAATTTTGGTGAGATACAAACACTTCTATCCGCGGATAAATAATGCACTTTGAATAAAACTGGCTAGCAAATACAGCACGTTTGTTCAGTGATCTCATGAATATAAATGATGCTGCATTCAGATCATGGATGGATATGTTAAAAGGGAAAGAGCAAGTACTATACATAGAAATTACGAAAACATGCGGAAACAAGGGAATGGAGCTGCAGAACCTAATAAGAAAGGCTACGACAGTGCAAATAAGAGACAAGGATTGAAAGAGTTGCTACAAAGTTTCGAGATATATGCCTACAAGTCTCTGGAAAAGAAAATACCGAGTTGTCAAAATCCCTTCTATGAGTGAGAGTATTGTTACACAGTTGAAGTGCGAGAGTGTATTAGTAATTGTATGCTGATTCAATATTCTGCTGTTACTTAATACAGCACTAGAAGCAAGTACAAGCTGGAACCAAGCTCATGCAAATTATTGTTTCAAAAAGAAAATAACTTCATACGGGACCCAACTTCAATCGCCCAGTGTGCGTCACAGCATCGTCGCTCGGTGATGTGCGTGCATAAACGTTTTACTATTGCGAAGCTTTGAGATTAAATTTCACAGAAAATGAAATAGTCCTTTTGAAGTCGTTGTGAAATATTATAAGTTTCTATACCCTCAATTTACTTTTACATAGATTTCGAGTTACTGCTCGTGTCTGACCAGCAATGCTGCCGAGTATAGGTGCTAAATAGAGATGAATTTCCAAAAAGGTAATGTGTTAAACATGTTTGAAAGTCAATGTCAAAATGTTAAAAAAAAGTAGAATACTGCTTGAAAAACAATAATTAGTGCTCATTTTTCCCAACTGTCTCACACCCGTGCCCAAACTATCCCCTGCTTGTCCCCCACCGGTGCCTTCCTCTCACCCAACTGTCCCCAACCTATCCCCTGCTTGACACTCACCCATTCCCCGCTTGTCACTCGAATATCCCCCGCCTGTGCCCCACATTTCCTCACATGTCCGGCAAGATCCCCATATGTCCCTCAACTAACCTGAAAAACTCCCGTCCCCACAAAACGCACTTGTCCCATGTCATTGCGCCAACTATGCCCAAATGTTCCCCATAAGTCATTCCCCCACCGGCTTGCCATAACTGTCCCCACAAAACTTGTGTCTCTGGTGACAAAAACCTGGTGATAAGAGGGTCTAGTACGTATGTTTTCTATATCATAATATGGAAACTTTAAATTTTGGAGAAATTCGGCGGAACGGGTTACGCGCTAACTTTGACCACAGGAGGACGGACAGATGTTCAATTAGACATTTTGCCGTCAATCGATTTTTCGGTATCAAGTACACAAAATATAAATTGTTACTTCACAGCGTTGAAGGAAGTAATTTACTATACGTAGGAACATGATTTATCCACTCTTTCGTTAACGGGGCCCGGCAATAAGCGTTTTTCAGTCCAAATTTCCCTTTTTTTGACACACGATACACAATACTTTTTCTTCTTACAAAGTATGGATGAGAAAGTAAAAAACATCAATTGGAAAACTTTCAAAATTATACTTAATTATTCCAAACCAAAATGCTAAATACTAAGATAAAAAGAAAACAATCGATAGTCACCTAAATGGTAACAAACAATTAGTTGAATTATAAAACCAATCCGCTGGTGATGAACAAGAAACCTTAATATTTATCTAAATCTATAATAAATAGAATTTAAAAAAAACAAAAGAATATAAATCTAAGCAAATATTCCCTAATAAAAAAGGAAATAAATATAATAACAAATACAGGTACAACAAAAAGATATTAAGAATTATTATCACGTCTCATAAAATAAAACGACCCATTTATTAAACCCTCGGAATAATACACTCTGTCAATTTACAAAACAAAATGTAATAAAATTATTAATAATTCTTCTATTAAATACACCTGCAGTCAACTGCTAATTCCTTTAGAAAAAGCCGAAATGTTGACAGATTACTTTGTTCAATTTTCTCTGCATCCTTCCCTAAGTCACCGCTATCACAACTACATAGAATAATCAGCCCTCGCCCCAAAAGACCCCTAATTGCTACCTAATACCCAAAAACTCTTGCTATAACACAATCTCAACATCGTAACATAAAAAAAATCTTTCACCAAACATCGTGGTAATCAGAAGAAAATATTCAACTCAATTTTTAGCTTCGGCCTCTCCGCTTCGCACTGGAAGTTCTCTAACACTACCCCGATATCTAAAACCAACAAAAGCCATAAAAACGCTGTAAGTTACAGACTGACCAGTCTCTTCCCTACATTAGCCAAATTAATAGATAAAGTATCCTTAAAGGCTAGTTCACAAATAAAAACAATACCATCCCTTACCATTAATTTGGATTCATCAATACCATCTAAACCACTCATCGACGACTAAAGTTCAATTAATTTATAATAGAATAAAATAGAATAATTGTTTTGCTCCTTAGGAAAACATGGAATATTTCCGGTGGTAGCATTTTCTAAGTTGTTATTACAAATTCACAACACAAGCAATCAAAGGAACTTTACAATATTTACGTATTACTAAATACAATTTTACAAGAATTAGTATATTAAACCTATCATGCTAAAGCTGACATTATATAACAATCATAATTTACAAAAAATAATGTTAACATCTATTTTTTTAAAAAAATACAGTTTATTTAATCTAGTTTTAAAATTTTTGACATTCTGAGGGAAAGTCTCCAGCACTGTTGCAGGCAATTCGTTCCAATTTTGTATTGTTCTGTTTACAAATGAGAATTTACTTACATCTGTTCTCTGTTTGCTTTGCCGGATTTTAGAACTATGATCCTTTCGCGCGACGTATGTGTGTTTTAATAATCTTGCCCGCACTTCCCCCCGCGGACGATCACCTCGAAATGATTTGAATAACGCACAAAGACGTGATTTCTCTCTGCGTCTTTCCAAAGGTCCCCAGGATATAAATTCAGAATTAGAATGTCCTCTCCTAACAAATTTTGCGGCATTGTTTTGTACTTTTTCGAGATATTTTATTTGTCCTAAACGATATGGGTCCCAACATATGGAGCCATATTCCAATATCGGCCGTACTAGAGATGTGTATCCTAATTCCCTTGATTTTCTACTTTCTTTCCTAAGCATTCTAATTTATCTAGGAAGCTATGAATGAAAATGCTCCGCACTCCTCACTTGCCTAGATCTTGCCCAGGGCTTTGAGAGAGTCTGGTGCATCGGCCTCCAATATAAGTTGTAAATAATAGCCAAACTAGTCTTAATCAATACAATAAGCCGTTTCCCGACAGAACTTTCGCCGTTACTGTTCACAATCACACATAAAACTCCATAAACATATAGGCCAGGAACTCTCAAGGATCTCTTCTATCGCCTACACTCTTCAACTCATTCGTAGGTGTGTGAATTCATTACATGATGAGTGACGAATAATAAATTACTTGTGTGAGTTGATAACACTGATCCTCACACAGGAAAACTAGTATTATCAACTAGGCATCGCATATATGCTGCCTAAATGCTTTCAGGGCAACAGTAATAGATACTGGGGGCATATAGGCTTCAAAACCTGGTGGTCAAACTATTTTGGGAAGACAACCAAAGTACTCGTCCTTGCAGTCCTCATTGTATGCCCTCTTTCCAAGTGTAATCAGAAAACGTTTGATCATTTTGGTTACCTCGTAGCAGGTAAGTAAGTATATTGATGGGTTTATCTAGAACTCAATAAAATACACTGCTGTTTGTGAAAATTGCAACACCAAGTAGGAGAAATATTATTTCAATGCAATTTTGAAATTTATTCCTTATTAGGAATATCACAATATACAAATTATTAGAATTACAGAACTGTACATGCATTTCTACTTTGAATATTTAGTGCGGTGTGAAGTCGCCATGCGCTGCCATCTAGACGTCGTAGCATGAATTCAAAGACAGCTTGGATATACTGCTGGTGCTGCTGGGGAACACATTGCCACGCGCTTCCTATGTGTGACCACAAAGCATCGACAGTGGCTGCAGGAGGACCAGAACAAGTAAGTCGCCTACCGATCATATACCGAATATGTTTGAGGGCGACATGTCAAGCGAATGTGCGGGCCAGCGAAGCAGTGGAACTCGAAGTTCTTCGCAGAATGCTTGTACATTCTTCGCCACGTGTGGTCGGTCATTGTTCTGTTGAAATATGGCATGAGGAGCTGCTTACAGGAGGGGAGAACCTCGGTCTCTCCAACCTCTCTGATGAATCGATTGCTGTTCAGCTTGCTTTCAATACCTATGAGGCGACATCACACATTGTACCCAATGGCGCCCCAAACCATCACACTTGGCGTTTGACCGCTGTGGCACGAAACAAGGCCGGCTGGCTGGCAGGCAGGCTGGCAAGGCAGCTGGAGATACCACGGAAGCGCAATCACCAGGGTCGAACACGTCGTTGCTCATCGCTGCCCATCGTTGTCTGAGGCGTTCGTGGTTTCTGGTCAACGAAGTCCAACGGAATGGTAAGCGTGCCACCAGCCCAGCCCTCAGCAGACGGCGTCGAACCGTCACCACAGACATCACCACACCCGAAGCAGTGCTCCAAAGTCAAGTGAACGTCGTGGACGACGCCGTTCAACCGGTTACGGTTCGTCGCTGTGTACGACCCACCTCAGTTCCCTGGTTTCACAGATGCATCACTGTTGTAGCAGCGCGCCCTGTTCGAGCCGCAGAGCCACAGTGTGACAAATCCGCTCCCCAGAGACCGATCATTCTGCCCCGTTCGAACTCACTCAGATGCTGATCGTGCGCCCTTTGGTGTCGAAGAGGCATACCGGCACTTGCACTTTTATGTCGTTTTACGACTCTACATCGACTGAGTGTGGCGTAACACTGTCCTGACCTGTCACACAGAGGAGGGCGCTGTTACGCCAATGTGCACGCACGTCTATGCAAATTTAATCCCTTCGTATGGATACACTGTTCTACATCCACCGATTTTAAGTGGTTTCGACCATTCCTACTGGGTGTTTCAATTTAAACAAACACAAGTGTACATCCCACATGAATATCTCTATTTCTACCACAAAGGTTTAACTCTGCCGCAGACTGAAGTGGAAATTCATGATGAGTAGATGTCGATATTATTAATTTAGTACGAATATTTTTCATAACCATATCGAACAATAAGTCAATTCACCTCAATATACATTTATTACATGCTTATATTGTTCATAAGTCCAAAAATTTTAAAAAATTTAAAAATTTAAAATATTTCATAATTATTTAATAAAGGAAATAAAATTCCAAGGAATAAAATTGTTCTGTACATCATAGAAATGCAAATTTGAAATTACTTAGTAGCCCAGCAAGTGCTGCTCAAAAAACCACATAAAATGGTTTTCCAAAAAGTGTCACGCACACTGCTCAAGAACAATTAAAATTCTCTATTATAACCCTGCAATAAATTAAATACGTTTTTACAGAATCAATTTTCACTAATACTACAATAACGTTGTACACGTAGTAGCTAATATTTAATATAGGGAAGCCTATTCCTTGAAATGTGATTGTCGCATGACGACAGCTGTCTACTAAACACTTGCACAGAGTACGACATTCAGTTGGTATGGGAAGTATGAGAATAGGCGACAACACACAATCAATTACATTTATTATTTGCATTTTCGACGAAATCGAAACTGTTTAATTGTTTTTTAACAATTCCGGAGTTCCCGGGTATCTAACAAAAACCATAGACATCTGTCACATGGCCGGAGGTTGTATAGTTTTCTTTCAATTTGAAAATTAACAATATATATTCTATATAAGGGATACTAGATTCAACATACATAATGTTACTAGGTTATCTGTTTACTTTCTCGCCCTTACTTTGTAAGAGGAGAAAGTATTATAATCGTGCGCCGAAAATGAACAAATTTTCGACCGAAAAACTGAATGCAGGACACTCGTAACGAAAACGTAAGTAAATCTCGTTCCTTTACTTAGTAACTTTCTATCTCTAGTACATTGTAAGTCAGAATTCACGTTTCGTTGGTACTTCACACCGAAGAATTGTTTGAATGAAAAAGATGTCTGACCGCCTGCCCGTCAAAATTTTCTGGAAAATAGATCGACT